GCAAGTTACAACCTCACTGAAGACAGTTTCTTTATCTGTAAAAATGGAAGCAGTACTTGGTAGAGTTATTGTGTGTGTTAGAATGATGTCTACACAGTGCCTGACACACTGTAGGTGCTCTGTAAATAGTAGCTATTCAAAATGGTTTAAGACAAAATTTTAAAATGATTTGGTATCTCCGTGGCTGTTTCAAAGCAAGTGCCCCATTTTCCAGCATCTCCACACATTCAGCTGCTATCAAGTTATGTCAGATTATTCAGTCTTACTCTCTTCCCATTTATGGGTTTTTTTAAATCTCAGAAATTTCTAGGGAAATTTTGATGTAAATTCAAAATAGTTACACAGAATCTCCATAGAATAATGCCTTTAAATGACAAAATGGTAATAAAACCCACATGAAATGCATGACCACTTAATGCCATCCTAAACTCTCCTCCAGTTGCATGGCTGGCATTATCCCAGTGCAGCCTCAGGTATCTATGACAGCAAAGTTCTTCAAGGGCTCATTTTTGTTTCCTGAAGATGCAGATTTATCTGTGTCCTGCTTGTCCAGGAATGTCACAACTTCTGCTTCTCTGGGTGGCATGTTTTCTTCAGGAGAGCTCTCCTCAAATTCTGCAATATCAAATCTCTCCATACATTTCACCAGAATTCTCATTCACTTTCGCCCAGTGTAACAGCTTCAGGTCAAGGAGATTGTTCCTCTTCTGATCGTTGGAGACAATGTATTTTAAAATAAACTATTATTCATAAGTTTGAATGTATAAGTGAATCAAAGACTAAAAACATGTCCAAATGTAATAACGAATGAAATAATGAATTTGACTTCTGTTTATATTTCTATTTGTGTGTTTAAAAAAGAAAAAATATATATATATATATTCATTTGCATCAGGAGAGTGGAGTTTGGCTATGGTCCTCTGCTATGCAACATAAAACCTGAAAAATCTAAATAATTGGTGGGGATTGGCACACAGTTTTATTTGCAGACACTCAGTTCATTTTAATAATGAAAATAATTCTGCTTTAAAGAAATAATGGTGTTAACTATGAAGGTTTAAACAGGAACCTATTTAGTAAATTGCTGTAATTGCTCTTTCTTGCTCTCCACTGTTAGTGGCAAGGTTTAGTTAAACAATGACATACACATATGTGTGTGTCTATAAAACAGAGACAATATCAACATAGTTACATATGTATTTTTAAATACATTTATAGCTGGAATCTCTTCTCCAAAGAATATTCATTTTTTAAAATTTACTAGAAATTTAAAATATTGATAGTCATGTATCATGAATATTTGGGGGCTGAAAGATGTCTTGGAAATAAGTTAGTCCAGTCCCTTCTGAAGCAGTTAGTATTCTTCGATCATAGGCAGTGGAAACCGTTTCTGACTAAATTAAGTGGGAAAAGATTTGACTGGAAGGATTTTAGGTAACTTGCTGAATTTAGGGAAGAACCCAGATCAGAAGAAAAGGACAAGACACAAGACATTTCAAGAGATCTAGGTAGCAAGAACTACTTAAGAGTCTTGTCAGATGCCTCTAATTGAGCTCCAATAACCTTCAATATGATTGTTTCATGTCTCAGATTCAAAATCCTGGGAGAGAAGCCAGTTGGCCAAATTGGGTCACTAACCCACCCACCCCTTGGCCAGAGAATCTTTGAATTCCAGTCCTACCAAGACTGCACACAGTGTGGGATCAGTAATTCTCCGAAGGATATTGAAGAGCTGCCACCTGGAGAACTGAGACTAGATGCTGGGTAGGCCAACATCAACAAAAAAACAAAACCAGTTGTCATCAAGTAGGTTCCAACTTACGGCAACCCCATGTGTGTCAGGGTAGAACTGTGCTTCATCGGGTTTTCAATGACTGGTTTTTCAGAAGTAGATTGCCAGGCTTTTCTGGAGAAACATGACACTCAGAGAGTGACTTTCTGCATTTCTGTCCCAGTTGAGATTACAACTGAGGTAACCTCCTCATAGTCTGTCTAGTGTTTATTAGTATTGCCTAAAGTCAGTATTTTAATTTTTATTGATTTATAATTTTCTTTATTATTGCCCCAGAATGCTTTTTTCATTCATCAGAAAACAGACTGGCAACCAAGGCAGAAAGATGTAGAGGTGGCAGTGCTGTTTTGAAGCAAGGTGGGATTGCCCTCTAGGTCTCCTATCCCCCAAACTGTCTTCTTGGCACCACTTGGATATACCCTTGGGGTCCTCAAACTCAAATGATCTGAAAATGAACTCACTGTCTTTCCCAAAACCTGTTCATCCTTTTGTGTTCCCATCAATAATTTCAGCAAAGTAAACCAAACCAAAATCAAACTAGTTGTCATTGACTTGATTCTGAAGCATGGTGACCCCATGTGTTTCCGAATAGAACTGCACTCCATAGGGTTCTGAATGACTCATTTTTCAGAAGTAGATAGCCAGGCCTTTCTTCCAAGATGCCTCTGGGCAGATTCGAATTGCCAACCTTTCGGTTAGTAGTCCAGCACTTAGACCCCTCTTCAGCAAATTACCAATTATGCAATCCAATAACCTGTCATCTTAGCTCCTCCCTTTCCACTCAGTCATCAAATAATCATTATCTTTTATATCCTAAATATGTTTTGCATCTACCTACTTCCCTTCATCCCCACTACCTTTACCCTAGTCCAGCCCCTAGGATCCCTCCTTTACATTACACCAAGGTCTCCCATCTGCTCTTCCTGTTTCCTATTATACCTTCCTCCCATCCATTCCTCCTGTATCAGGTGTGAATTACAGAGCCACAGACTGAAGGATGCTAAATCAAAAGTCTTTATGTTTTTGTAACTTAATTTTAATTTCTGTCCCTGGGCCTTGATCCTCCCTAGTGTAAAAATCCAATTTATAACTCTCAGGTAAAGTCAGTCCAATTCAGCAATTTCTCAGGTTATTCCAGATTCTAAAACTTCTTCCCTCACCCTATTTTCCTATGTAGAAACAACATAGCACTCATACGGGACAAAGGCAGAGTGTGTGGAGTAGAGTTGCCAGACTTAAAAAATAAAAACACAGAACATCTAGTTAAATTTCAATTTTAGACAAATAAATACTTTTTTAGTATAAGTATGACCCATGCAATATTTGGGACATACTTAACACTAAAAAATTATTCATCGTTTATCTGAAATCCAAATTTAACTGGATTGCCAGGTAAAATCCCTACCGCGAGGGTGGGATTTGTCAGCATTTACTTTCAGATCTACATCTAGGACCTTGCGACAAAGTCTGAATTTGCCTATCCAGTATCTATTCCCCTCTTATTCTTTGCCAACGTAACTCCAATTTTATTTGGGGTAGCAGTGTGCCCAAGAACAGGAGGACTATTTGTTTTCCCAGACTCCCTTGTAGCAAGGAGTGGCCATGTGACACAGTTCTGGCCAATGAGACCAAAGTGGAAATCCACTAGCAGTTCCAAGAATGTTTTGCTTTTCCAAATAATAGGGAAAGACACAAGGCAGGTAGAACGTATATTAATATATGCATTTTTACAGATGAGACAACTGAGGTTCTGGGAGGTTAGGTAAAACTGGGTTCAAACTTAGGTGTTCAGACTAAGTCCAATGCTGTTTCCATTCCATGCTGCAATTTTTATTGCTAGTAGCATCATATCATGCCATTGATCTAAATATTTAAATGTTTCCTGTTTTTTTTAAAAAAATACTGTAAAGTAATTAGAATTTGATTGCTCTTTTAGTGGAATAATAGCTACCAACTAGCTATTATTCTATGTTGTTAATTGCCGTTGAGTTGATTGCAACTCACAGAGACCCCATGTGTGCAGAGTAGAACTACTCCATAGAGTTTTCGAGGCCGTGACCTTTAGGAAGCAGATTTCCAGGCCTGTCTTTTAAGTCGTCTTTGGGTGGGTTCGAACCACCAACCTTTCAGCTAGTAGTCCATCACTTAACTGATTGGCACTGTTTGTGTCAAAGGAAGTTATGGTGGTGCAGTGGTTAAAGCACTCAGCCGTTAACTGAAAGGTCTGCGGTTCGAACCCACCAGCCATTCTGTGTGAGAAAGATGAGGCAGTCTGCTTCCATAAAGACTTACAGCCTTGGCAACTCTATGGGGCAGTTCTACCCTGTCCTATATGTAGGGTTGCTATGAGTTGGAATTGACTAGATGGCAATGGGTTTGTTTTTTGGATTGTCCCATAACCCTGATTATTTCCTGTATAGCAGTTTTCATCATCTCAAGTTATTTAGTATTTGTTTACTTATGTGTTGGTTGTGTTTCCCCCTCTAGAATGCAAATTGCACAAGGGCATTAAACCTGTTTGGTCCAGAATAGTGTCTGGCACTTAGTAGGAAACTCAGTAGCTTTTGTTGAATGAGTAAATGGGATAGCATTTAACATTTCATCTTCTTGTAGAGCTCCTTGTGTATTGACATTAGACGTGAATTAACCTAAACAATCATTAACTTAATCCTGATTGGAAATAAAAATGTGATAGGTTTCAATAAATATTTTCTGCATGAATGAATGAGTGAATGAATAGACCACCATAGCATACACTGAAACCCTTAATATAGTGACTACATCAGGAGTTCTGGTGGCACAGTGGTTAAGCAGTCAGCTGCATTGTTTTGATATTAAATGGAATGTTTAATTTTTCCTTGGCTTATTGGCTTTTTTTTGGGGGGGGGCGCTGGTGTACCAAGTATTTTTTTATATTGTCAGTCAGCTAACTTATTTGTTCTTATCAACAGGGAGCTCAACTCTGGAACTGCTATAACATAATTTCATTAGAATTACTGTATTTTAGATAGCTTCTGGCATCTTTCATTAATTTCAACTGAAGTTACTCAATTGTGTTACAGACACAGATGTTTTGATAGCTTTCAGTTCTTTCACTGAGGCGAAAAAAAGGCAGTGTGATTCAACCTTTAATTATTAGAGGATAAAAACACTGTGCGGATTTGAAAGATTAAAATAAAGCTTTGTGTGTTCTGATTCTTATTCCCAGTTACAGGAACTCGTACAAGAAGAACATCTGTGTGGACATGCTGCGAGAGGGCTATCATAAGTCCTTTACTGAGCTCTTTGCTCTGATGGAGAGGTGGGACGTCCTGAGGGAGGCTGCGAAAGTTAGGTCCATCTTCTGGCTGCAGAAACCCCTGGAAGAGCAGCCCGAGAAGCTGGATCACTTCTACCACTACCTGACCAGGGCTGAGAACGCTGAAAGGAAAGGTAAGCGGAGGGATCATGGGCAGCGGTGCAGCAGCGGGAGCTGGAGCCGCGAGCGCCTGAGGGAAGATTCCAGATTGTTCCTTGTATGAATTTGAGACATTAAGACAACTTAGCACAGTTTAGCCTCGTCAACTAAGCATATTTATGGAATAAATGATGAGGAATGCGGAATCACGGCACTGCCCATACACAGGGAGATCCTGGGGATGTCATTCTAAGCCAGGAGAGACAACATATAGCACTTAATTTCCAGAACTTTTCAATAGATTAAAGTCTTTTAAGTCCTTAATTATAAATTTAACCAGTTTTTCTTTCTATATAATCTGAATACTGACTTTAACTGAACAGTATTTTCAAAGAATTCTATAATTTAAGAATTACACTGATTTCTCAGTATTTATATCATGGGCTTTGAAGGTTTAATCAAAACTCCTAGAATTAAATAGAAGAGTTTATATTAGTAGGCACATGTTAATAGTTTCTTAAGATTCCACCCCATAGGGTCTGAGACAATTATCCTGAAATAGTGTATCTCTGAGCATTCTGACTGCTTCACGTTGGAAAGACCATCACTCTAGGACCACAATGAAGTTCATTTAATCAAAGCTATATGGTACTATCAATAGTCCTCTCAGATCAGTTCTTCTCTTGAGACTTAGAGACCAGTAACCTAGAGTTATTTAAACTACTTTACAAAACATCACTTGCTGTTTTATGGCAAAGAAGTATTTGAAGTAAGCTGGTCATTTCTGTACCATCTGTAACATTATCAGTAGGGCCTTGAGCCCCATGGGGCTGGGGAAGGGATGGCAATAATAGCAATGGGTAACCAAATCAATAGATAATTCAAACATATTTATACCTGACTTTAAATTATTGTCAAGAGTTGAGCAGCACTTTTTTTTTCCCCGAATAACATTTGTTTAAGATACCCAAAGTATGTTCTATTCATGCAGAGTTCCATAGAATGTTTATGTGTTTATGCAAAATAAAGCAAAAGTAATTGTCCGGATAAATGTTTAGGAAACAGCAGGTGAATTAACGTTGAAGTTAAATAGATTGACTTACCACAGGACTTAACATGGCCTTTAACGTGCTGATATATATATGATGGTTCACCCAAAGGAGGAAATTAGTAAGAGCATTTCCCAAAGTTACTTGATCACAGAATCTCCTTTTTGGAGAGTGTAGTAAGAAATTTTTGTCTAAATAATAAACAACAATGGAATTGGTTTTGATCTTTTGAATATACTTGCTGGCAATACAAGGAAGTGGTTTACAAGCAAGAAGGCTGCTTAGAAGGTAAAGGGTACAGGCCATATATAGATTGTCCAAAGATTCAAAACTTGAATACATTCATTTATACTTAATATACTGAAAAATACTCCATTTTCCATAGAAAAATAGCTTTTATGACTAGTAGTTTCTAATTATGAAATCTTAATAACTTATATAACTCATTCTAAAAAAATAAACCCAAACCTTTATCAAATGTTATTCTATTAAGGCTGAATTATTGATAGAAAAATTATTTCCGGACCACATATTTTTTTGAAAGCACTTTATATAGCTTTTGTTTGTTTAATGGAGAATAAAGTGTTTTACTTATGGGCTTTTAAAAACAATAACTTTCTAATTAGTAACTATGACAAAGAATATACAATATTACGAAACAGACTTTAGTGCTCTGTTTGTATTAGGGAGGAGATTCAGGATGGAAAGATAAGCACAAGGAGAAGTCAGTTCTGATGTGAGAGTATCTGTTTTAAATAAGTAGCAGTTTACTTTTTGCCTAAGCTGTTGCCTATCATGAGTGCCCTTAAAAAGCAAAATAGCCTTATAGACTCCTCAGCCCGTTCAAAAATATAGAAGCCTTTTAAATTTTTTTATTTTTAATTCCTACATAATTATGAAGTATTTATAAAGAAAAGGGAGCCCTGGTGGCGCAGTGGTTAAGAGCTCAGGCTGCTGACCAAAAGGTTGGCAGTTCGAATCTACCAGGTGCCTCTTGGAAAGCCTGTGGGACAGTTCTACTCTGTCCTATAGGGTCACTATGAGTCGGAATTGACTTGACGGCAACGGGTTTGTTTCTTTTACGTAAGGAATGGCATAGGTTTTACAAATTTCATTTGAAACGGAGTGATTTATGCACAGTTCTTAAAAGCTACATTTTGTTATAATTAGCCTGTTTCATTTTTTTTTTTCTGAGCCTTTTGATTTCACTCTTGTAAGAGTACTAGTGGTCAATGTATAAATATTTTTAATAATTATAATCCCTGCAGGAATATATGGGTTGATTTTCTAGTAATATGAATAATTAATATCAGTGAATTCTAACAGATAATGATTGTTATAAAAATTTCTTGGCAATGTAATTGGTATCACTAAATTGTGCATTTGAAAAATGTTGAACTGGCAAATATTGCGTTACATATATTTTACAACAACAACAACAAAAATTCCTTGGAAAAATAACCCAGAGGCCACCACATATTTACAACTCTGCTTTCAGCACAAATGCAAAGAGACATAAAGATTCTGAACTTGTGCATAATCACTATTAGAAGGTGGTTCACACAACTAAGACAAAATTAATTAATGCACAATATTTTCATTCAGATTTCCTATTGCAGTGGGGTTGATACGACTGATTCACAACTTAGTAACGCACTTTTTTGGGTACATATAGTCAATTTTAGAAAAAAAAATTAGAAAGAATTTAAGTAATTAACTGCTGTCTGAGTGAGAAGGATGTCTAGTATTAATGCACTTTTGGCAGAAAAAAATTATAGAAAATAAAAGTATAGAAATCCACTGTTTCTTAACATGGCTGAAATCTAAAGTGTGTAGAGTTTATATAAGCTCAGCCTGATCATTATATCTTGTATCTCTCTGCCCCATGAATTTTTTTTTTCCCCCTTCTGGTTTAAAATTCTTTGATAGATCCATTTCCTCTCAGCTTTCTTTATATACATCATCTTTTTGCCATGACTAAGAAACACTGCTTTCTCTGGAATCTATAAATACCTTTGAAACTTTAAACAGGAAAAGTATTTGATGATACTGTGTACTCATTTCCTCCAAAAAAAAAAAAAAAAAAAGAGCACATTGCTAGTAAGTATTATCCTATCCTTTATCTTATATAAGTCTAGTGTTTTAACCTCCTAATACATCCATTTCTAACATGTTCTAAGTTTTGGGAATTTTTTTATGGCTTTACTCATCTGAATAGCCTTTATTAATGTAGTTATTTTAATAGTTAAAATGCATTAATTTAATTTTTACATTTAGATTTGATTTTAAAAATATTTAATCTTTTGAGGAAGACTAAAAAATAAATGTCACTATATTGTTTTGCCATTGGAAGGGATGCTTCATAAGACTTTTTTTAAAAGCAGCTTATGTTTTTCTCTCTTTGAAGAATACTTTGAAGATGTATATAATAACTTGTATGCTCTGGCCTGTTACTTCAATACTCCTGAAGACAAGTGGGTAAGGAATCACTTCTATGAACGATGTTTTAAGATTGCTCAACTGATCAAAATTGACGGTGGAAAGAAAGAAGCCGAAGCGCATGCACACATGGGCCTTCTCTACGAGGAAGATGGTAAGTGGGCGTTTGCCTGACTGCATTGGGTGATTTGGGGGATCCAGGAACCAGGCAATCAGAAAGCACATGAGGGTGAAGAAAAAGACCTGAGTTTCAGTATAAAAATGTAAATGACTGAAAGCAAACAATAAAGGAGTGTGACTTGTGGAATCAGCTTCAGAATTCCTTGCCATCATACCTCCCACCCTAGTTCCCAGCATTATCACAGAGAGAAAGCCTTCTCCCACCCTCTCCACACACCCCTCAGGCCACGTGCTGCACCCTTCTGATTTTTTTTTTTTTTTTTTCCTTTCATGACAGCCCTCTTGGTTCATTTTAACTTGATTCCTCCTGTATGAAAATGTTTGGGAAAAGGAAAGGTATACTTTGTGATTTTCCTAGTGTCCCAGGTCCTCTGTATAAAAACACATAATATCTATATACTTCAGATACCACCCTATGGTGGTTTTATAATGATTTCTGAAAAAAAATGCTCCTTTAAATATAATTTCATACTTAATAATGTTAAAACAACTCAAAGTCTACAGTAATCAAAAAAAAAAATTTCAGAAACTGATTTTTTATTGTGCCTTAAAAATGATGGCAAACAGGAATTTAAGAATTAAAATTATTTATAGAAGGATGGTGGGTAGGTAATATGCCAAGGAAATACATGCAAAGATGAAAATACTTTATTGTGAATAATACTATTCCTTCCCTCAAAGAACTGCCTCATTTTCCACAAAAGTTTTGCCTCTGACAAAAGAGTTAAGTGAAAAATATTTCTTATTTTGTGCCTAGGATTGCACAGGAGCTTGAAAAGGGGGAAAGAAGACTTTTGTGCTTCAGGAATCACAGTTAATGAGATTCTAACACAGAGTGTGATAAAGGCTAAAAGGTGATAGAGACAAGGAATGCCATAAAAATTCAGAGAAGTACGAAGTCATATGGACTGGGTTCTAGAAAAGCATTATGGTAGCAGTAGGGATTGGCAAAGGACTTGAGATTTTAGGCAGGTAAACAAATAGGAATATACTTTATGTGAGGGAATCACATACACTAAGGTGTAATTAGAGGAACTGACAGGAAGAACAATCTGTTTAAAGTGGAAAATATATTTCTGAGCAGTGATGAGAAATAAGCTCAGAGTTTGAACTTAAGCCTCTATGTATTCAGGGAAGGAAATTAGTGTAATATTAGATAGACATAGACATAGGCACAGATATAGATGTAATATAGAAGGAGTCCCTGGGTGGTGCAAATGCTTAAGCACTTAGCTATTAACTGAAAGGTTAGTAATTCAAACTCATCCAGAGGTGTCTTGGAAGAAAGACCTGGCAATCTGCTTCTGAAAAGTCAGAGCCATGAGAACCCGATGGAACAGTTCTACTCTGCACACATGAGGTCTCCCTGAGTTGGAATCAACCTGATGGCAACTGGTTTTATAAATGCAGATGTAGATCTGGCTGTGATGTACCCTGTAGGAGGAGGGAAAAGAAGGCGGAAGGATGATTAGGGAGCTGCTACACTAATTTAGCTCCTAAATAACAATTGAAAATTATTTAAGAGAATATATTTAAGCATATCCATTGCACTACTATTTATAATATCTCATAATAGGCAATTAGTTAAATATATTAAGCAACAGCCATGCAATAGAGTTCTTTGCAGTCATGAAATTACAGATTGGAGCAAAATTCATTCATTCATTTAGCAAAAATTTATTTAGAACCTAGCACCAGGGGATAAAGCACTTCTATTGAATGTTTTATTTATTGCATCTTTCATTTATTCATTCAATTATTCATTCATTCAGCAATTATCGGTGTGCCTCCTAACCCCAGCAGGCACCATTGTTGTTCATACCATTTTAGTGGCAGACAGTCGGGGTCTGAGAGTGAAAATGATTTGGGGAAATATGATCAGAGTGTGGCCACTGTGAAATGACATTCACAGGTCCTTGGCTTGCTCACATTTAGATGCCCACCCAGTATCATGACAAAATGCACCCATATGCCTTAACAAATAGAATGTGCTGTCTGTGAAAATTTTTGAATGACTTTCGCTTTTAAAATTACTTTCAATTTAGAGTATTTTGTTAGAAGCTTTTTTTTTTTTTTCGTCATTTATAAAGTATTTTCCTATTCCTTTAAGCAGTTCATAAGCCCTAGGAACCATGTCTAATAGATAGAACATCTAATGGATAAAATGACTAGTCAGTGTTGATGAAATTTCCATATTGAACTGGAGTGTTTGATATACCTAATGATGTTGAAAATTATCTGTATAGCTTTTGTAATCTGGAGTAGACTTTTCATAAAGAGAGTAAACATGAAGAATGTCAAGAATATATAGCTAGAGTAGAGTGGGGTCTCACCTTGCTATAGGGTTCCCCCTGAGATGACCATGGTGTAGATTATTGCTATAGGGTTCCCCCTGAGATGACTATGGTGTAGTTTACACACATCTGATCTAATTGGTCTGGGGATTCAAATGAAAACACGAACATCTAAGAGATAGCTGTGCTTAGAGGCAGGTGGAAGCATCCTCCTTGCAGGGGTACCCATTCAGGTTGAAACAAGATACCAGCTGGCAGATGGCAAAGTGAGACAGATGTCAGAGCCCAACCAAGCAGGCTGCCGTCCAGGGCAGGCCTCCAGCACCCTCAGGAAACTGTAGAGCAAATCCTTAACATGGGTGGAAACTGTAGTCACAGGGACAGGGCACATGGTTGCAGTCAGTGGCAGTGTTCAGCCCAGTGGGCACGTATGTGACCAGAACTTTACCCAGAGCCCGCTGGCCAGAGTCTAGCATAGCAGATGGGTTCAAGTTCTCACTGCTGCTAAAAATGGGGCCCTAGTATACAGTGTGGCCTGGCTCTCACTGGCTTAAGGGCTGGTGGTCTCATTCTTCAAATTGAATATCTTCAGATCTATCGCTGGGGTAGAAGGCATGGAGTAGTCTTCTACTGACAAGCACTTGTACCAAATCAGTTGCTGTATCTTCTTTCAAAATTGACACCTTATTCATAGATCACAATTGACAGGATCAGTCTTGGACATGATAACCCTTAATTTCAGACCACAATTTCATTATGGTTTCCTCCCCTCCTTCTGAGGGGTGACTTCTAGGTATTATCTCCCACTCTGTCAGCAACCCATTCCGTTTCATCCCATAAGGTCTTTGAATCTCATCACCAAGTCTGGGTACTGACTGCTGTAGGACACCAGGAGGATAACATTAGGAATAGATGGTGGATGACAACCCCAGGGTAATAATCATATTCACAGAAAGCAGACAGGGTAAGACCATGGTAAGAACAGTTTAAGAAGTGCACATTTTCCAGTTCACAAGGTCTACATCTGTGATTGCAACATAGAGTTTGAGTAAAAGCTAACCAGAATATACAACACTGACCCCAGGTTTCCTCACTGACTAGGAAACTTCTTAAGGAAGGAAGAGGGAAGAGCTGCCCTTAAGTTGTCTTATTCAGCTTCAGATCCTAGAATTTAGTGTTGAGAGTCAATTTCTTGGATAGAAACTAGGTCATATATCTCAATGGGGCTTTCTAGGAAGCCAGGAAACACCATGAATAGGGTAGAGTTATTAAGACACTAGAATGGCTAATGTCTCCCCTAAAGCATCCCGTACTGAAAGGCAGATCCAGCAACAGGTTTATGGAGGAGATCACCACTGTAAGGCACTGTCCCTTGATCTCATGGGGAGGAATTAGAATTTGGGGACCCACTCATCCCTTTCTTGTGGATGATTCGCACCCTCCCCTAACATCTTCTCCACCCATTCTTTAGTGATCATGATGAAGGCAGTCCCTCGTGTCTTATTTTTTTTTAATGTAATTTTATGAGGAGTGGTGGTTCAGCTTTTCAGCTTTCCTCTCAGTGAAGTGTCCACTCATCCTGGGCAACACCTTCCAAGATCACCAAAAAAAAAAAAGAAGAATTCTACCACTGACTGTCTTAACCCCCTACATCTCCCACTACTTAAGATTTTGCAAGGCTAGTTCCTTCTAGCAGTCAATGGCTTGCCATTCTGATGGCTACCCACACCACCCCAAGTATACTCTTCCTACCACAAGTTAGGTCTCTGATCTCTCTCTGGTGCCTTGACTTGCTTCCAGAAGTCCCTGTTTTGTGCCTGGATAGGTGCCTTGCAAACTAGATAAATTAACAAACAGCACTCACCTACTGCAACAACCTTGCTTTGAGAGAACTCAAAGACGGAACCAGCAGCAAGTGTACTAGTCTCCCAATGCCCTTTCATTGGATGTTGTATAATTAAGGAAGTTCTAGCGTGATAAGGAGTCAGGGTACAATAGCAGTATGATATGGCCAAGCTTTGTTTCTGCTGTTATGCTAGGAGAAATGCCACCAGTATTTCAAATACCAGCAGGGTCACCTATGAAAGACAGTTTTCAACAAAGCTTGCAGACTAAGACAAACTAGGTAGAGGGACCTGGCTATCTACTTCTTAAAAAATTGGCCAGTGAAAACCTTATGAATAGCAGTGAAACATTGTTAGATATAGGGCCAAAAGATGAGGCCCTCAGGTTGGAAGGCACTCAGAATAAATCTGAGGAAGAGCTGCTTCCTCAAAGTGGAGTGGACCTTAATGAAGTGGATGGAGTAAAGCTTTTGAGACCTTCATTTGCTGATGTGGTATGACTTAAAATGAGAAGGAACAGATGCAAACATCCGTTAACAATCACAATGTGGAATGTACAAAGTATGAATCTAGGAGAATTGGAAGCTGTCAAAAATGAAATGGAATGCATAAAAATTGATATCTTAGGCATTAGTGAGCTGAAATGGACTGGTATTGGCCATTTGGAATCAGACAATCATAGAGTCTACTATGCCGGGAATGACAAATTGGAGAGGAATGGCATCACATTCATCATCAAAAAGAATATTTCCAGATCTATCCTGAAGTACATCTCAGTCAGTGATAGGATAATATCCATATGCTTACAAAGAACAGTGAGTACGACTGTTATTCAA